AAGAGGAGGGCTCGCCCGAGTGGTATGTCAAGAAGGTCATGGACAACTCGATATCTATAAAACAGATGTCGAGTCTGGAGATCAGTCTGAGAACGCAGCCTATTGCTTGGGTCAGGGGCTTCATCGAGGCGCAGGGTCAGATTGCCCTCACGAATGTATTGGCCAAAATCAACCGCAGAAAGGGAACCGGGCCTGCACCTCCGCCCAGCGTCATGGCGCAAAAGGCGGAAAATGATGTGGAACGCGAATACGAAATCATCAAGTGCTTAAAGGCATTGATGAACAACAAGTACGGTGCCGACAACGCTCTCAACCATCCTTCCATCATACAAGCGTTGTGTGGCTCTTTGATCTCTTCGCGCCTCAACACACGAAAACTTGTCTCGGATGTCTTGACCTTTTTGTGCCATTGGGGTAACGGAAGTGGACATGAGAAAGTACTGCAGGCACTTGACAACCTCAAATCACAATATGGTGAAAGCAGTCGATTCGATGCATGGATGCGCATCGTCGAAGTCACGGTCGATGGCCGTGGTAAGATGGGCTCCATGGTTGGCGCTTCAGACGAAGTGCGCAGTGGAGGCATCGGCGTAGAGAACCTCCTTATGGAGTATGCTATCGCAACCCTTTTCCTGATCAATATGGTCGTGGATGCCCCTGAACGCGACCTGCAGCTCAGGATGCATGTACGAGCCCAGTTCACAGCATGTGGCATCAAGCGCATCTTCAACAAGATGGAAGGCTTTCAGTACGATGTCATCGACAAGCAGATTGAGCACTACCTGGACAACGAAGCTGTTGACTACGAGGATTTCCTTCAGAAGGAGAACAGCTCCATGATCGACAGCGTTGAAGGCGAGACCAAGGATCTCAACGACCCCGTTCAGATAGCAGATGCCATCATGAGCAAGATTAATGGCAGCCGCGCCCAAGACTACTTCACGTCGGCCATGCAACACTTGCTACTGATGCGCGACACTGAAAGCGAGGATCGATTGCGAATGTTCCAATTGGTCGACCAAATGCTGAGCTACGTGGCTATGGACCGCCGATTGCCAGACATGGACCTCAAGCAAAGTCTGAATTTCACTGTACAGTCTCTGCTTGACAAACTCTACACAGATTCCGAGGCCCGACAGGTACGCGATGAAGCAGTCGAAGCGCGACAGATTGCAGACTCGGCCATTGCGGAACGCGATGAGATGAAAGCGCAGCTAGAGCTGGGTGCAGATGGCTTAGTTTCTAAGCTGCAGAAACAGCTAGCAGAGCAAGAACGTATTATCGAGCTCCGTGGAAGGCAGGTAGAGCAGATGAAGTCAGAACTCGCAGAAATGCAGAGAATACGAGCTCAAGAGCTGCAACGTAACGAACTCGAGACGCGTGAACTATACTTGATGCTTAGAGATGCTCAAGATGTCGCAGCGTCAGCAGCGAAGAAGTCTGGCAAAGATGGACTCGGTGCTACGGATCCTGCTCAGATGCAGGGCATCATGGACCGCGAAAGGCTCATGAACAGACTGGAGATCCAACTGCAGCGAGCCAGGACACAGGCGACGCTCGAAGGCAAGACCCTACAGATGCAGCCCAGCGAGAAGCTCCGCGAACTTCGAGAGAAGATGGAGGGCGATATGCCCGGTATGACTGAACAAGGCTATGGCGGCCTCGAATCGAGCTCCTTTGGATCAGTCCGGGCCAAGAGTGGTGTCCCACGCAGAAAGCCCCTCCCTGGTCTTCCTGGTCAGATTGGTGAGGATACTGAGATGTCAGAGATGGATGATGATGATGTTGTCATCGAGAAGCCCCGTCTCGTACAGATGCACAAGCCAAAGCTCAGCTCTTCGACAGCCAATGCTCTCATGGCAGATATCACTTCGAACGTCAAGCGATACGACGACTCTGATGGGGAAGGTGATGGCGTTACTACAGGACCATCACATCCCAGCCTCGAATCCGACTCACCACAGACACCCGCTGATGGTGAAGCACCCAAAGCCGATGTACCTCCACCTCCACCCCCGCCTCCAGGCGCTCTTGGATTTTCTGCCAACATACCACCTCCGCCACCTATGCCTGGAACTGCTGGTCCCCCGCCCCCGCCACCTCCGCCGCCACCACCTGGCAAACTTGGTTTCAAGCCTGGAATTCCTGCTCCGCCCCCTATGCCTGGAGATGGCAGCATGCCACCTCCGCCACCGCCGCCACCTATGCCAGGTGCCAAACGTCCTGGGTTTATGCCTAAAGCACCTGGGTTCGGCGCTGCACAACAGTTTGCTCTCTCTGGACCGCGGCCCAAGAAGAAGCTCAAGGCTCTTCATTGGGACAAGGTCGACCAGCCCACTACCACTGTTTGGGCTACACGTGGTCTAACTTCGGAAGAAAAGGAGGAGAAGTACCAGGAGTTGGCTAGGAAGGGTGTACTAGAGGAAGTCGAGAAGCTGTTCTTGGCAAAGGAGATCAAGGCGATCGGCAAGAAATCTGGCAAGAAGGATGACAAGAAGCAGATCATCTCTCGTGACCTCATGCACAACTTCCAGATTAGCATGGCCAAGTTCTCATCGTACGGAGTTGAGGATATCGTAAGAATGATCATCCACTGCGACACCAAGATCCTGGACGACCCTGTCACTATGGAGTTCCTGCAAAAGAACGACTTCTGCGATATCCCTGACAATACCGCCAAGCTCATGGCACCGTACTCGAAAGACTGGACTGGACCTAATGCTAGCGAAAGCAAACGCGAACAGGACCCGAACGAACTTACAAGAGAAGATCAAATATACCTTCTTACTGCTTACGAGCTGCACCATTACTGGAAGAGTAGGATGAGGGCGCTCGCATTGACTCGTACGTATGAAGCCGAGTACGATGAGATTTCGAACAAGCTGTTGGAAATCTCAAGGGTTTCCGAGAGTCTACGCGATTCCTCGAGCTTGATCAGTGTTCTTGGTCTCATCTTGGACATTGGTAACTTCATGAATGACGCCAATAAGCAAGCCAGTGGTTTCAAGCTCTCCACGCTATCGCGTCTAGGTATGCTCAAGGATGACAGGAACGAATCCACATTCGCCGACGTTGTCGAAAGAATTGTGCGCAACCAATATTCGGGATGGGAAGGTTTCACTGACGAGATTGGCGGCGTCATAACAGCGCAGAAGATCAACGTTGAGCAACTGCAGACCGATGCCAAGAAGTACATTGACAACATCAAGAATGTCCAGATGTCGCTTGACTCCGGTAACCTATCTGACCCAACCAAATTCCATCCAGAAGATAAGGTTGCCATTGTTGTGCAAAGGAACATGAAGGAGGCCAGAAGGAAGGCGGAGCAGATGCAGGTCTTCCTTGAGGACATGCAGAAGAGTTACGACGACATCATGGCGTTCTATGGCGAGGATCCAACTGACGACAGTGCGAGGAGGGATTTCTTTGCGAAGTTGGCCAACTTCGTTCAGGAATGGAAGGTCAGCCATTACCAGTCCCTTATTTCAAATGTTTTGTTTGCTAACTCGGCTGTAGAAATCCAAAGAGAAGAACACCACACTCGAAGAACAACACCGTCGCAACGAGATTTCCATGCGTCGCAAACAAGCACAGACTGCGAACCCTCTCTCACCCAATGCCCTGTCTTCAGACTCCGACGCGCCCAGATCTCCAGCTTCCACCGGCGCCATGGACGACTTGCTCCAGAAGCTGCGTGCTGCAAAGCCCGAAGCAAGAGACCAGCGCGATCGCCGTCGTCGCGCTCGCTTAAAGGACAGGCACCAGGTACGCGTGGCTAGTGGCCAGAAGATTCCGGAAATTGGCGTCAACATGGAGGACGGGGGAGAGGGTGCCCAGGGAGAAGATGAGAAGAGCAAGCTGCTCAGCCCCGCAAGTGAGACTGCGGAGAGCGAGGCCAGTAGCACCGTTGGCCCTGCTGCTGGTGCTGTCGGTACCGCTGAAGCAGACATCGCAGATCGTGCAGCTGCCATGTTGGAAGGTCTACAGTCAGGCACTGGCTTGAACAAAGACGGTTCGCTTTCCGTTAGGCGAAGAAGAGAGAGCGCCGACACTGAAAGACAACGGAGGAGGAATCGACGCAATCAAGCTACTTCGGCCAAGAGCGAAGATGGGGGCATTCTAAGTCCCACGGCCATACCCGAAGAAGGCGATAGCATCGTCGACCAAGAAGGCGAAGAGTCAAGGGATCCGACAACACCAGTCACTGTCGTTCACCCACCAAGTCCAGAACAGAAGGGAAGGGACCTACCCACGCCACCGCCAGAGGAAGGTTAAGCAGTCCATGTTGATAACAAAACACTGTCACCCTATGTTCAGTGGCTTGTGTTGCTACTACTGCCATTGTGGAGAGAAAGAAAGGGGAAGAGACCAGTTGGTGATAATTTCGCGATAGTACATTTTCGACTTCGATACCCGATCGCGTTTTCTTTTTTACACGTCATGGCATTTATAAAGTTTTTAACTTTACTTTTGGCTTTACCTTGCCAATCGTTTCTCATTTGTTTGTATTGTACCACAATCTGGAGGGTCTTAATGCATCGCTTGCGCAGTGTGATGTCGCTGGCGTCTTTTTCGTTGTGTTGAATGGTGGATAGGCATGTTTGGATGAGAGTACGGAAGGCTGAATGGATGGGGTCATGGGCTAGATATCCTTAGGGGAGAAACGGTAAGGTATAAGAATTATGTCGACAGATTACATGCTCATTCATCTTTACGTTTTTGTTCTTGCGTCAGTTGCAAAGACTTATTGCACTGATCTTATCTTTCCAGTGCCAATGAAGTAATAAGTTCGTGTAGAGTTTTTTTCCATTATTACTAACATAAAAGTCATGGAGCGTACTACCAGACACCTTTCCCTTCGCTTAAGATAAGATATGATATAAACAAGAAAACATGACTAGCATGTGTTATCAATGAGAGTCGTGAAGTTCCAGCAGGAGATGATGGATAAAGAGATATCGTAACGCCCGAAAATGCCCAGACCATGCATGACGTCCACTCTACCATTTGAGGCGGTCGAAGAGGTTGCTGCTCTTGACATCCCTCTTCTTGCTGCCACCAGGTAGTGCACTGGTGCAGTCGATCAAGTTCGTGTCCTCAACACCGAGCATGCTCATCTTGACCATTGCACCTACGAAGGCCGAATCCCACATGCCCTTGCTGGCGGCAAAGGCGGAGAAGGGGATGGCGGTGAGAGGGTTCTGTGCAATGTTCTTGTCAGACTCGAGCGTGAAGGGAGCCGAGCCACGTTTGGTCTCGGAGTAGTATTTGTTATCCCAGGTACCGACAGTAGAGTCGAGCGCGGCACCGGCTTTGGAAGGGTCTGTGACACGTTGTTTGGCAGCAGTGTGAGCACCGATGAGGGCAGCAAGGTCATAAGGGGAGAAGCCTTTTGATGCTAAAAATGGTGTTAGCTACGTGGATATGACAAGCTGGAAGATGAAGGCTTACCGAAGAGCTTGACCAAATCTCCTCCTTTAGCGAAGCCGCTGGGTAGAACGCCGAGCGCGTTTGCCTCACTGGAGTCCTTGCGACCAACTTTGACGGGAATCGTAGGCCCACCAGGGCATGTTTTGACTGCGTGTGCGGCAGCAAACTGGATAAGATCGGCAACACCGACTTTGGTTTGTGAGGCAACATTGGCGAGGTTGCCGCAAAGGCGCTCTAGACCACGGTTCTCAGTATTGGAGCACTCTTGTGCGAGAATGAGAGATCCATCACAAGCTCCGTTGAAGCAGTCGTGGAAAGAAGATCGGATAGCAGCACGGGCAGCATCTGTGCACTGCCCGTCTCCGAGGAATTGCTGAGTGAGGGTAGAAGAGATTTGAGTCCAGATGGCAGGACATTCCTGCGCAGGCTCCTTGTTACCACCGAAGAGGCCGCCGAACAGACCAAGGATCCTTCCTATGGTGCGCTTCTCCTGTACCGGTGCTGGCGGTGCTACGATCCACTCCTCTTCTCGGATGGTGTAATTGGAGTAGGCCTGGACTGTGCTGGCAGCCGCAAGACCAGAGATGAGAGCGTTACGAATATACATTATGTATGTAAAGAGAAGATAGTAAACCTATCGAATGGAGGACTGATAGGATTATGAGAAGATAGGGCAGGCAAGATGTGCTAAGAAGCGAAAGAGCGAACGACTGTGTTGACCTGAGATGATAGTAGTAAGAGAGCGATGAACTTCTGTCTTTATACATTGCTACATGTTTCTGAAGACAGGTAAGAATAGTAGCCACGACTCATGCTTACACTTAGCACGGCGTGAGCAGATGCCTCTCGAACCCTGATTCCCATGGGTAAGCGTTGGAGAGAGCGCTGGAATAGACGTGACAGGCCGCTAGGGCGATGGTGAGAAAGACCCACCGCTACTGTTTGGGAAGGACGGATAAACGCCACGACGTGACCGGTAGAATAGATCGTACTTGAAGCATGACAGGTAGCAGTGAACTTGCCAATGATCTTCGAGCTTGAAGTGTAGCTTCAAGCAATCCAGCTCACGCGATACGCTGCATATACTCGAGCTCAGCCATTTACATTCCCACTAGTCAATGCAGTGTGGCATTCGCGTGGTGAGTTAGGCTTAGAACGATGACAGTCGTGCAAGGATACCGGCACTGTATTTTCCCGAATCAAGTTGATAATGCTTTCCAATGGCGAATTTTCCGATACGTTCTTAGTGGTATCGCATTAACAAACAGACCGTTGGTTTGGAAAGTGATACCCCTTTACGTCGAAACGAAAGTTTTCTAAAGAAAGATGTGGGGATGTTGTTTATTGTTTCAAGACGGCTTCAGACTAGCGAGCGTGGAGGAGCTGCAGTGCCGATAAACGAGGATCAACACGGCCCCGCAGTTTGGGCCATGGACGCCGTACGTTTGAGGCGCATGGCAAGGCTTGAGCCTTACCGGGCGAGGGTTAGAGTATGGAAATGGTTTATCGTGGGCTAACCTTAGCGACTCGAACCAGGCATCCGCAAAGCTAGTATGTGTCGCGCATGCTCGCTTCGCCTTGCCCACGCAAGTGTGCAACCAAATACTACCATGGCAGCAAACCCTACTGCAAGACCTCAAAAGAGGTATCTGGAAGATCGCGGCCACCGGGCGAGGCAGATGGCGAAATCTGATGGTGTGCGCTTTACTGGGCTTCTTGTGGAAGAGGGTCTTCGGTACTTCTCCGAAGCTCTAGTGCAGGGTCCTTTTCGTATCCTGTCAACTGTTACAGATGTGATTCGAATGCCCTAGCCAATAATCGTGAACGCAATCATCGGCTTCATGTTTGACGACGCAATAGCGCTGATGGTGTTGCGGACATGTATGTCGGAGACCCGAAAGTGGAAATCCCTATAAGGATAGTCCAAGAAGGCGGTCCCTTTAGCGAAACCTTTCTCGCCGAGTTGAACCCTTGCAATTTCATGACCCACCAACCTCGCGAACTCTACTGCGGATGCGACTGAAGCTCTCTGGACCGGTGCTGGATATCGTGGATGGAACGAAAAGCTTAGAGCCGTTGACCGAGATGGCGCAACCGACGTACCGCATATCCATTCGTTCGCGCTAATGGCAGCAATGGGAATGTTGCCAGCACTATTGCCTCGAGGTCGCGGACACAGAACGCGGTGTTTGAACGCCACTCAAGAATCCGCCCTCGTCGCACACAAGGCGAGACCGGCATCCACGCGCAATCTTCCATCACTAAGACGAACGTCACATCCTGTGCTTGGCTGCGCATCCATCCCCCAGCTCTTTTGCATCACACTGCCGAAATGCTCAATCAGAATTCGGAACGAGCGGACAGGTGTCGTGACGGAGTTGGACGATATTGTCGGACAGCATAATCGTGATGCATTGCGATGCACCTGCGATACCGATGGGGTGGTATGTGTTTGTTATCACAAGAAAGAGCGAGAGACGCAGCAAAAGCAGCAGCATCTCTATGACAGCATTAGTGCTGACAATGCAAGCTATCGCAGCACTCTTTCGTGGATGTCGACAAGCATGTAAGATTGCACAGTCAAACGAGGAAACTCCAACAAAATGTTTAGATCGCATCTCAACATCTTCCAAAGCCCTAGAGGTTCTCGCTACGCGAAGTCGCGTGACTTCGTGTCAAATGTGTAGGTGCGGCCCTCAATCATACCACAACACATCCAGGACCGTCAATAGATACTACGAGCAATCAGACGCAACGTCATGCGAAAGGTAACGATACTGGATCAACTATGAGGGGGAGCTGTCAAACTGCAGGCACAACACGGCACTAGTGCTTTATGATGCACCTCCGTACATAAACTTGGGATTCAGTAGTAAGCAAACGGTATGACTATGGCCAACTTACCGATGAGCCGGCTTGGAAGCATCGTGACTGCCGCCCGTTGCCAGTGGTGTGCTAAGATGCTCCTGCAGGATCAAATTACTTACGAGGTGAAATCAATGTCCCGTTCGGCGCCCGTGGCTCGCGTGATTTCGTTGGGAGAAATGTCCGTAAGGAGGAAGATAACAAGATGGCAAAGAGCGGGATTGAGACTGAGCGGACAGCGAACGTGAGGAACAAGCGATATAGGGAGCGTTTCATAGAGATCTCATAACGACTGCCCCGCCTGGGACGAAGGTCTACCTGGCTTTCCTAAACAACCATGCAAAAGTCCATCCAAAACACCCTCGCAATGCACAGATACCATGCCTTGTACCAAAGAAAGCCGTCAAAACGCAAGTAACGCCAATCAAACCATGCCTGACTACATCTACTTCCCGCCAAAGACACGTTTGATGTCCGCGAACTTCACCGGCTTAACGAGATACATATCCACACCCGCCTCCTGTGCATCCTTTTGGTCCTGTGCACTTGCAAGCCCAGTGAGTGCCACGATGTGTGACCTTGGTAATCCGTTTTTGCTCTCAAATTGACGAATATGGCGTGTACTCGTCAGCCCGTCCATGACGGGCATGCTCAAATCCATCAATATGAAGTCAAATGGACGAGCTGGTGGGGAAGAGGATGTGGCTTCTGATTTGAACGTCTCGAACGCTTCGAAGCCGTTGGTTGCTTCAACGTAACGCAGATTTTGTCGCTTGGCGAAAACGACGAGCAGCTTCAAGTTGATGGCGTTATCGTCTACGAGGAGGACTCGTGGATTGAAGTATTCACCACCATCGCTTGGGGTAGGACTCAAAGGAGTCGTGGTGGTTGGGAAAGGGCGCGGTGGCGGTGGGGACGGGCCTCCAATTGCATTGTTGGCTTGTCGCGTCGTGATATCTTGTGGAAACATATCGCTGAGACTCCGCTGAGATAGAACGCGAGGCGGGGCGAGGGACTGAAACTCAGGCTGTACTAGGGAGGAGCTCATTGATCGACTAATAGATGGCTCATTGGTGTGTTGTGAGGCACGCTTCTGACAAGATAGAAGTGATCGGGCAAGCTTTCGAGGTCCACATCTATCGAAACTGTTAGTAAAGCGGCGCAAAAGGTTGTTGCAAGAAACTTACGGCTGTGTAACTATTTCTATAAGCCAGCCAAGTGCCTCAACCTGTCTAGCAAGCTGGGTCTCCACGGCGGTCTTCTCCGACGTATCTGTGCAAACGCAAACCACTCCCAATGGCGACTTGTTAGCACGACTGGAGTTCGAGTTCTGCATTAACATATAGAGAGAGGGGGAGTCAATGAGCAGGAAGTCGATATTGTTGACCGATATGTCAGTGTTCGAGCGCTTCGATGCAACAATCTTCATGTCAAAGTTCTTGCAAGCGTTTTCCATGGACTCTTTAGTCTTGAGTCCCCGTTCGCCACCTTGTGTGTCAGTCATGTCGCACACAATGGAGACAGACGTGCTCTTTAACTCCTGAGGTGCTCTAACGAGGGCAAGATCTTGCTGTGCGTTCTCCTTGGATCCAATTGGCAGGCGTATGCCAATTTTGATGACAGTGCCGACGTTGTGGGTACTCCTCACCTCAATCTCGCCCTTCAAGGATTCTATGATTTGCTTGACGATTGAAAGACCCAATCCGGTACCAGAGCTGAAGGGATCCTCTTGGCTGAATGGGGAAAACAATTTCGTTCGCTGGTATTCCTGTGACATTCCTCTGCCGGAGTCTTCAACACTAAGAGACAAGTCTATGAAGTTGGCGGAGCTTTTGTGTTGTAGCATCTTGATGGCGATGTAACCAGAATCCGTATACTTCAGCGCGTTGCCCAGCAAGTTCATAACGATACGTCGAAGGGCGCCGGGTTGTGATCGCACAATCCAGCTAACGTAGGGGGCTACGATCAAAGAGACGGCAACGGACCCATGGGTATCTCTACCTTCCACATCGTTGTTGCCATTTTCGCCTTGCATTGGGCCATTCGCAGCTTTGCTTTCAGCCTGGTCATAGATGGCGGATCCTCGGACGTGATGAGTCTTCCTGAATGTATGACCGGCGCACACAGTGTCGCAGACCTCCTCGACCAATTGCGCTAGATCGAAGTCAGAGGTAACACCAAGGATCGAATTGTCAGCAGGCTGTCTCTTGTTTCGCCCCAGGCTTCGCTTGTTCTGGCCAGTGACCTTTTGCAGCTTGTTGATCTTTGCGTAATCAAGCACGTGGTCGATTGTGTCAAGCAACGTTTTGCCACATGTCTCGATGGAAGAAACCAGAGACTCCTGATATGCCGATGCCACTGTTTCGCGTAGAAACTCTACAGAGCCGAGAATGCCATGAAGTGGCGAACGCAACTCATGCGATATGGAAGCAATGAAGGTAGTCTTGGCACGGTCCGCCTTCTGCGCATTTAGTCGAGCTACTTCACTGGTCACTGAATTGCCGAACGCTTGCAGATATGGTAGCTCGTTGTCTGGGCTCATCAGTCGTCCAGCTTGGGTCGTCCAGATGAAGCCACCAGCAATCCATCGTTCCGTGGCTGGACACCAAAGTGGCAGGAATATTAGGCTTCTCACCTTGGGCAAGACTTTGAGGAATTCGGTCGGGATGAATCTTTCTCGCTTTTTGCGCGGCTTCTTAGTGTTAGCGGTAGATCCGTCCATTGTGCGGTCCGACTGCTCAGTCTCGGAGCGTTCTGACTTCTCGTCGGAAGAATTGACGCCGATACCATCCTCGTTGTAGTTGAAAAATTTTCCGTACGGGTACCGATGGATATAGCGTTCCATGGCAGCTTCGTTGAAGCTGAAGTCTGTGTGTACTAGGGCCGCATTTCCTTCACGCAACGACAACCCTACAACAGGACAAGCCCTGCTATCAGCTCCACTTGCTTCGGGCGCTCCATCGGCAGTGATGGCGGTTTGTTTCTTAGGCCTCCTTGAAGCAGTCGAGTCGCCAGTATCGGTGTTGTGTGTCGCACTCTCGTCGCTACTAGCGGAGCTGCGGTTGTAGTCATAAAGATGGGTTCTTATCCCAGCGGCCGAAGTGTCGAAGAAGACGACGCCGTCGGCCTCAGTGCTCTGACGAACTATGCGCGCGGCTCTATGGAAGATGCGGGCTGCGTCAGATTCAGCATCGCGCTTGCGCTGGGCCTGTCTAACAGGAAGAGACGTGTTGGAGCCTTCTTGCTCCTCTCCTTCGTCAAGGGCTACCAAGCGCGCGTTCTCAGTCTGTTTCTCCATGGTGGTAGGGCGGTTCCCATCCTCGCGGATGTCTTGGACAGAGGAGCACTCGATGAATTGCGTCAAGCCGCGTACCATGCGCTCACCCTTGTTGCGGTCCACACTGTCTTTGGCCAGCTCGAGGTGTTCCATGACGGCAGCGGAAACATCCTGCATGAAGCGCAATTCGCCAGCACTGATGCCCTCCCGGGGCTTCTCGTCAGACACGGCATAGACACCAATGCGATGACCGGCCTTGGTGACAATGGGTACGCCAGCATAGAACCTCACGCCCGGCTCGCCCTTGACATAGTCCTTGTCGGCAAACCTAGGGTCCAATCTGCAGTCTGGTATAACCAAGCATTCGCCCGTGAGCGTGCTCCCATCTTCCTCTTTTGCAGTGTACGTCGAGGTGAAGGTGTGGTAGCAGACAGCGTCGGTCTTGGTCAAGATGGCGTTGCCCAGCCACACCTCGTCTTCGGGCTCTTCAGCAACAGGCTTGAACAGCGAGAGAGTGCGTGTAGCCTCGGCAAGAATGTACTGGTGGTGCGAGTCGATCAGCGAGACCACTGAACATGGTGTACGGAGTTAGTGTATGTCTCACATGCAGTTCACACATGGAGACTTACTGCAACGGCGAGTGTCTAGACGCAGTGTCGCCAACTGCGCAAAGGCAGTCAGGGAGCGGTCGCGCGACGTCTGAGGCTGGTAGCCCGAGTAGGTCAGGCCTTTGCCAGAACCGTCGGCCGCATCAACCAGGCTCTGTGCATCGAGCCATGGGCGATAATATCTAGTGGATCCTTAGCTGCAGTCGACGAGTGTGTATCGCTCGAGCCAAACCTGTGGAGATCGCGCTCACGGGCTGCTTCGGGCCACGAGTAGCCCATTGTTATCGTATGGTTGCAGGCAGGCTCAACATGTCCTTGCAGAGAGGCACAGCAAAGAATCTACGCCAGGGCAGAGGCACAACGGTGGGGTGTCTTTGACTGGCGGCGGCGACGGGGAAATGTCACGCTCCTCGTGGCTGCCGCTGTCTTCCCTTCTGAGTGCCTTGGTTAACTGCATCGGTGCTAGACGCCCCATATCCTGGCGCCGCGGACCACAGGCAAGTAACGCGTTCCTTTTGGGCCTGTGGCGCCCTGGACATGGGGATGTGAGGACTATGCGATCGAGATGAGCCTGCGTTTATCGAAGCATGACGTGGGCATCGCTTCATCCGCTAGCCGACCTCCTCGCTACATGCTGGACAATTGCCGATCTCCCGCCCTGCAGCCGATGCCCAGCGCAACAAATCTTCGAGACAACATCTTCTTCGACAATTCCACGACGACGCCATGTTTGAAGTGCCGGATGCGAAGCGGTGGGTCGACTCGCTAGTGTCCCTGTTGTCCGCATACTGACCTTTAGGGCTAGGGTTCGCCGCGACGAGCTGCACTCTCCCACATCATCGCCGCGCTCCTCGCCAGATCCAGACCTCGAACAGCTCCTGCGGTCCAGAATACAAAACGAATTCACCTACACCATCGCCACCACCGACCATCATGTCGATGATACCAACGATATCGCGCAAAGTGACCAGGATGAGACAGAGTTGCGTCTCTTCGCTGCGCCCGCAAATACCGCTCCACAGTCGCACAAGATCCGAATTTCATCTCCAGACACCGATAGCGGAGAGCCAGGACTGGTTTTGAAGAAACCACGGAGCTATTATTTCGCCGACGAACCCACAAGCGAGGCCGAGGAAGAGTTCAGAGCGGCGGCCATGGAGGGAAGGAGCGTCCTGGAGCTGTCGCAGCAGCCATGGCCTGGTTGCGCCCTGCCGTGGAAGGTACGCAAGATATCACCGGCTGGCATGAGTAGAGAGGTGCTGGTTGGCCATCCTCCCATGCTGGTTCTTGTCCAAGACAAGGCAAACAAGCGCACAAGAAAAGGCAAGAAGTCACGCATAGCCATTAGAAAGAAGTTACAGGAAGCAAAGGAGAAGGAAAGCGAAGCAGCACGTCTTGCACGGGAGAAGGAGGAAGCCAAGCGTGAGAAGAACACACGGAGGAATCGAGAGAAGAAGCTCAAGCAGAAGGCAAAGCAGCAGGCCAAGAGGGCAGCGGATGGCGCTTCTGAAAGCGCCGCAGATGGCATGGATGGTGTGGAAACTACGGCGACTGAGAGCCAACCTGTCGGTGGGGAGTCGACATGAGGCGCGTCACGGACACCATCACTGTTTCGCCAGCCTCACAGGTAAAGCAGCATCAGATGCAATATCACGCTCGTCGCAAGCAACAGCCACTCGACTGGACGGGTACCAGGATGGTGCGAGTGATGCACGTATTTCACTCGTAGCCACAAGGCTACCTTTACCTCTGTCTAATTCACGCTAGCAAACTACTGCAATCGTCGACTATATCTACTCTGTTCCTCACCGTTTCTACTTACTTGCCCTTCACGGCTTACTTGGACTGCCAAAATGGATCACAACCACGTCCGAGACAACATGAACTCCGACATGCCTTCAGGCTTCGATCAGCAGTACGTTCCCATAGATCCCAATCTTGAGGACATGTTCGCTCCATCCGTTCGAAACCACATGTACCAAGAATCAGCTCAGCATTACAACTATCAAGAACACCAACTGACTGGCTACAATGTGGTCATGCCCGATGCTGTGCCGTGTGATGCCTATTGTACAGGCTACGAAGGGCCGATGACACCTGCTAGTACAGCAGACCATTTTGAACCGCATGATGATCAGTTGCATGGGGTTTCCGAAGTCCCGGACGAACATGCCACCAACACCCAACAACAAAAAGGGACTGAGTATTCATCGGAGCTCTGGCGGACTTTGGTCAATTTTGAGGTACCTGATTTCGGACAAACTTCTGTCGACAACATACCTGGCCTCCAAGCCCTACGCACGGCCTACCTCAGTCTCTATGGCCCCCAATCAACAGCCACAAACGCCACTCGCATGCAGTACGCCAAAGCCTTTGCTTTTGCCCTGCTCACGCACTATCACCCGGCTTCGCAAGGCTATACTGTGGTGCCGACTTCACCCGGACCTATGTCAAAAACAGGGATGAACTTTTTCCTGGCTGCCGACGACGAGTCAGACATCTGGAAGGATATGGGCAACAAGAAGGCCAGCAGCATCAACAAGGCCAATCGACGGCGAGCGCCAACAAAAAGAGATCTTGAAAGGGCCAAAAGGGCAGAACAAGTTGCCAAGGTAGCAGAGTACAACCATGGATTTGCATACATGGCGAATCTGCAATGGGACTATATCCCGCCTCAGGACATCGCCGCTTTTGTGGTCATGTGTAAATTAGAAGTCAGAGATGAGAACACTGGTATGATGACGTACGAACAGCAACCACACACCTACCTCATCATTATGGTTGACAACTTCGATCAAGTCCCACGCGTCTCGAGGGAAAACACAGTCCATCGCAGTGACATTCTAGCGGACGCGCTATGCCGAGGCGGCAAGGTCCGGAACGGTCACGGCATGCTTCTCTATGGGCCCCGGCTTGAGTGCTACACCTTTGACCGTGGAAGCGAGTGGGTTTGCCCTGATAGCGATGATGAAGAAGATGAGCAAGAACCTCAGGATATTGAACCTAAAATGGAGGCGCTACAGTCTGGCGGTCAGAATATCGATTTCGATATGCGTGCCACGAGCTTGGAAATAGTCGACGTGGCCTTCAGGGATATGGCCGTGAGGCAGGTGGTGTACATGTCTGAACCAAACCTTGATGCAGAACAGGCTGTAGGTTCTGTAAAGAACGATGAAGAGATGGACGAGCAAGGACACTGCAGTGGCTTGAGAGGCGAAAAATTCATCTAGCTGACTAACCCTGGCGATTGCTCTCCCAAGGTAAATAAACGTTGCCCTATATCACGATCGATGATCCTTCTCCTACATACCATCTTTATGCTGATGGGGGAGTCGCGCTTGGATGATTGTAAGCGCCCAATAGCCGACAAGCCATATCTTGCTCGCGGACAGTACTCCGATGCCTGCCACAACGCGGGCTACGGGACCATCCGTTCGCTAACCAGCATACCGGTCGATCGGGCTCAAATAAGAAAGGGCCGAAAGGGTGAAATGTAAGCGAGTGGTTATTGTAACTATGCAGTTTGTGGGATGCTGAAACCTGATTATACTTTGCTGCTGGATTTGGTAGTCCTATACTGAAATGTAAAGTAAGCGTGAATATCGCTTCGTAACTACTTCGGCCCACTATCAATCCTGTTCATAGCCTCATAAGCCTCTTTCGCAATGCCTTTCACTTCATCCGTTAAGCCTTCCAATTCAGCAAGTTCTCCGAACCTCTTCCTCCAAAGCGCCCATCGTTTCTTACTAAACTCTGGTTTTCCGTGCCACAGCGGTCCACCGCTACCAGGATTGCCCTGCGTCGCTCTTTTGGGAGTGAGATCATATTCCCTTTCATAAACCTGCCTCCCCGCGGCGAAGATCCACACTGCGGCAGAAGGAATTGTAGCGTTGTATTTCTGCATCGCTGTACCTGGGTGACGAGCCCCATTCGGCGCATCATCCTCATGTGGGGTCTCGAGTGCATTACGCATCTCCCAGATACAGTAGATCCAGAAGTTACTAATTTTCTCTACCGTCAGGAGAGCGTAGAAATAGAGCATATTGGCGTAGGCATGTACTTCGGGAAGAAGATACCCGGAGCCACAGCCGGGGGAGTCGTTCATGGTCTCGCGGGCATCCCAGCCAAAGCCGCGTAGACATGTGTATATATCTGGGTCTTTGGCTGTTGGAGGCGGGAAGCTAGATTTTATAGCCTTCATGAGAACGACGAGTTTGTCGAGACCGACAGTGTCTCGGAAAGGGAGCCGTTTTGCTGAGTGGATTATTGAGATCCAGAGATTCCCAAAGTTCAGGTCTTTCCTGTTCTGTAGAATAGCGTCGTTGATGGGTGTGAGGAGTTTCTTTGCGACGTATTCTGCCTTTGTATTGCTGCTCATGTAGTCTTGCACGATTGGATAGGATTTGCCATCTCCGTCCAAGGCTGGTGAAAAGCATCTTCGATTTTTCATAATGATGTCGATCTGGGTAGCTTCATCTTGCACGTTGGTGATGGCGTTGATAATCTCGCGCTCTCGAGCTTCCTCTTTCTGCTCTCGGGCCCGTCTTTGTTCCTCTGGTGACATCCTTATTCGAGATCTTTTTTGGGAGGGGATTGGGGTTTTCTTATGTCGGAAGCGGCGATGTCATTCCGGAGACATATAATATAGAAGTTGAAGTACGCCCTTCAGCCCTTCAGGATGCCGTTTACAGGTGCTAGCTTGTGGCGACATGCACATACGTGCATGTGCAGTGGAGATCTGCCATGAGAAATTCTTACTTCAACCCATATTTCATAATTGAGTAGAAGTATAGTTTCACAATGTTTCAAGATGCAGGAAGACGCTAGGGTACATTGCTTTACATGAAGCGGTCGGTCAGTGTGCATAATTTCCCCTGTCGAAACTCGGCCTACGAATGTCTAGTGAGAGCCCGTTGGTAGACGCGTCTGTAGTTTGACAGATATCGCGCATGTTAACATGAAGAAGAAGCATCACGTATAGTAGGGAAGCGTATCGGGTGTGGTGAAGAAACGTTTGTGGGTTTAGGTGGTTGGTAACTCGAGGGCCCTCGCTCCCAAACGCCGAGTAAATTGGAAACAGCGACCCGACCGCGACCCGACTGCCTCGCACCACCACTAACCACCAACACTCATACGCCTGCATAAAGGCCTTGAACACTCACACCGATCGCCAAAACATACGATTTGGGACAACGACATAACTATGTCGTCGTATCTTAATAATCTCCTCACAAATACAACATCGCGCTACAACAACCTCCGGCGGCAGATCCTATCCGACGAAGCAGACGGCGATACAGAAGACGACTCGCATCTTTCCAGAGTTCTTCGCGCGTATTACACAGAGAAAGGAAGACCGTTTCCACAATGGCTTCCACCGGACCCAAAGGCGCCGCAGCCTGCGCCCGCCCAGTTTGCATCTTCTCAGTTCGCGTCTTCTAGACAGCAGGCGCAGGCACAGCCAGCGGGCAGAGGAGGAGGACTGAGCGATCTATGGGACAACCCTGCGCCGCAACAACCACCGCAAGAGCCTCAGTCACTTCGACGAGGAGCAGGAGGACGGGGTGGAGCAGCGCGCCCACTACAAGGTCGGCCCATGGGCAATTCGTTGACACCGGAGCCTCAAATACAAGGGAGGCCACTACCCAGTCAGAGAGCAGGGAGCTATCAAAGCTCGTTGGGAGGGCGTCCACAGGCAGAAGCCTCACCACCACCAAGTGCAGGGGCAGGATCAGGTACATCGGCACAGGAAAGGCTCAAGGCCAGGTTATGGGGACGATCACAAAGTCCTGCCCCACGTGGCCTCTCTTCAGAATCCGCCAACTCACAGTCGGCACAGGGTGGGCGCCCGCCCTATCCTGACGATCGAAGCAACAGCTATGGGAGCACTGGCAGTGCTGGTGGGAGACAGCAGGGCTCCTTTGGCGGCATGTCTTCGAATTCTCCATGGAGCGGAAATGACGACCCCTACGCGCCACAGAATGGAGGATATGGCGGTGGCGCACCTCCACCGCAACGCGGGCCACAAGGCGGACGTATGGGCCTGCCGAGCGGACCGCGCATGCGTTGATCATGTTCTTATTGCATTCAGCACGGCGCAACGGAGTTGTGTCTTGGTCGTTACTGGGTAGGCAGCATCGGTTCTGTAGACTTGACAACATGGCGCCCGTCACATAACAGATGAGCCCTTAATATGAATACAACCCGCTTACAGTTGCCTCGAAATCTCATGTATGTCCAGAGTTACTTTGCGCACATAACGCAGCTAGAGCACATTACTTGATTCGATAGGAGGGGCGACGCGTTCCCCGCGTGGCGTGTTGCACCGCCACAGCGCGTCATCATCGAGCATCAATCACCTGGGCACTCGCACCTGCAACATCTGAAGCGCCAAACACCTACGCGCATGTTTTCTGCCCAATATCTGTATTGCTTGTGAATATTCTCTGCATATGATACCTGACTGTCTTGCTTTGACCTCATCACCAAACCTCAACACCGCGTCTGTAGGACGCCGCCTAGCCCCGCATGACTTCCTCGGCCCCTGGACCGCCATCGCCGTCGGCCAGCTTCTACGACTTGAGCGACGATGAAGAGGGCGAATACAACACGATCCGACATACTAGCAGTGAGAAAGGTGTGAAGCTGTTATACACAAAGAGCAAAGTATGTATAACCTACTTTGACGCGACACCATACAGCCAACCTAACATGTGCAGGTATACGTACATCCCTCGCCTTCCTCAAAGGACAACATCCCAGGCTTTGTCGCCTTGGTGCAGCAGAAGTCCAACCGAACCGCCAGCGATGCGCGTCCAACCTCATCCTCGTCCGCTCGAAGCGTGAACGCGTCATCGCTGCTCCTCGCTTGGATACCAGAGTCAAACCTCGGCGATGCATACGATACATATGTAAAAGTTGACCTGTCCGACTCGTCGTCACCACCAAGGCAGTCATACCTTGTGCCTCCGCCTCCCACACCATCCACCCACGCCGGAACTCCCGGCTATGCATTCGCGTTGCCTGTCAGCGAGATATACTCCGTCCTCATACGGCCACCGAGCATCGGGTGGTGGTTCGGAAGCGTCGTCATCAACACTCGGGCGGGTGACAGCTTTCCTGCGCTCTTCTTCCACGATAGCGAGTGCCAGTCTACCATCATGCAGCGGAAGAAGTTGGCCAAGGAAAGCTTCGATCCGTTTGGCGATGGCGGAGGCATGTTCTGGGGCGGCGACGAGGTACTGAGATGGCTCAAGAGATACGTCACAGTTGAACGTTCTGGAGCCGATCCGAGCATATACCTTATCGACCCTTCAGAAGACGACAAGAAATCCTTTGGCAAAGACGTCGCACCAAGGAAGAGCACCGAAGGCAAGACAGACGCGTCGTCTTCACAGCAGACGGGCAAACGAGACGGTGGTATGGATCCGGTCACAAAGGCACTCAAGGAAGCTAGATGGAACTTCCTCGAAAAGCTCAGCCAAGTCACGACGTTCACGCGGAGGACTGCCCAGGCCGTGGCAGACAACCCCAAGATTCCTCCTCAGGTTAGGCGCCTGATCCAGAACCCCGAGGTACAGACGTTGCAAGAGGAGTTTGACAGCGCACGGTTATATCTCGCAAGATGGGCTATGGGCATTGCGGAACAAAGCGAGCGTGAGCGAAACCAGCGGATCTGGACAGCGAAAGATGTTCTGGCCATGGAAGAAAGTGATGTTGGTGACTTTGAGATTCTTGATATGGACAAGATGACCATGGCCGACAGAAGACAACCAGTCACTTTGACCGAGTGGAAAGGCTTCTTCGATCCCAAGGGACGGCTCCAACTGACTCCAGACGAGGTCAAAGACCGAATCTTCCACGGAGGCCTAGATCCTGATGACGGCGTAAGAAAGGAGGCATGGCTGTTCCTTCTCGGAGTATACGAGTGGGATAGCTCAGATGAAGAGCGACGTGCGAACGTCAACAGTCGGCGAGATGAATACATTCGACTCAAGGGTGCTTGGTGGGAGCGCATGGTTGAGGGAAACCAGAACGAAGAGCAAGAAGAGTGGTGGAGAGAACAGAAGAACAGGATAGGTATGTCTCCTTGCGCGTTACACGGTTGCCTGGAAGTTGGCTGACTTGTCCCATTCTATGGGGTCCGTTGTGTAGAGAAAGATGTACATCGCACAGACCGCACCATCCCAATCTTCGCCGGCGAGGACATTCCTCATCCCGATCCCGACTCGCCTTTCGCGGACGTGGGCACCAATGTTCATCTGGAGCAGATGAAGGATATGTTACTGACATACAACGAGTACAATAAGGACCTTGGCTACGTTCAGGGTATGAGCGACCTGCTTGCACCCATCTACGCAGTCATGCAGGATGACGCCGTCGCATTCTGGGGCTTTGTTGGATTCATGGAGCGTATGGTATGTTCCAAGATGGGCGAAATCCCAGTCTAGACATAGCAGTTAACATGCATACAGGAGCGCAACTTTCTACGAGACCAGTCGGGCATGCGCAAGCAGCTCATGACTCTCGATCACCTCGTACAGCTCATGGACCCCAAGTTGTATCTTCATCTTCAGTCTGCCGAGTCAACAAACTTCTTTTTCTTCTTCCGCATGTTGCTTGTATGGTACAAGCGCGAGTTTGAATGGGCAGATGTACTGCGGTTGTGGGAATCGCTCTGGACCGATTACCAGAGCAGCAACTTCCACATCTTTATTGCACTAGCTATTCTGGAAAAGCACCGAGATGTCATCATGGCACATCTACAGCACTTTGACGAGGTGCTCAAGTATGGTAAGCTACGAAATCAAACAATCTATATTGGCTGTGAATGATGCTGACACTGATGTAGTCAACGAACTATCTGGTACTATGGATCTCGAATCAACGCTCGTTCGCGCAGAGTCACTCTTCAAAAGATTTCAACGAACGGTAGAGACGATCGACAAGAAGGGTAACTTTCCCTCTGCACCACAAGCGCGGCAACGCAAGTTGGCTGCTGCAGTCGTGGCCGGTCCGGGACCCAATACGGTGGCAAATGCATCGAAATCGAAAGACCAGGCGGTGGCCTCGGGCACAGACAAAGGAAAACAGGTCGGTGAAGAGGAGCAGGAGGCGAGAGTCATCAGCCCTGAGCTACGCGCACTACTGAGTAGGAAAGTAGAGAAGCTCGACAAGCAGACCATCTTGGAGCATGGTGGTGGCGTTGGCAAGTAAACGCACTCCGGATACTCTTATGAAATTATTGGATGGCGTTACGGTCTGGTAGGATACATTGGCGAGGTTTTTAGGGTTGCTTACGCTCAACGAGGCACTGGCAAGATTAGATACAACTGCGATCGGCAACATCGCATCTCCACGTTCATCATTCACGTCGTTTTTCCCCCTCAAACGTTGGCTACACACGATATGCTCTATGCTGCTTCACCGTCAGCAATACTGGCGACGCATGCTTCATAAAACCCGCTGCTATGTTTGTTTTCCCATACAATGAACGATTGCAATTGTAAGTCCTTGCACTCACATGTCTAGTTCGCCTATTGCACTTCACACAGAGTTCGACCGCTTCACACCCACGATCGCCAACACTACGTCCACACGGTAGAAGCAAACCACGATTCGTCACCTAATAGAACCTACAGGACGACAAATACGGTAGTACCAGACCTTCAATGAACTATATCAACCACTTCATCAATCGTTACTCTCCAATTCGTCCGCACAACAATTTGCGTCCTACCCAGCCTTCCAACGGCCCTGCTACCTCTCCTCGTCATTGTAGCTCTTGTTCGCACTCTCAACGTCGGCGCAAGCACCGTCACCGCGAGAAGATGACGTCCTTCAACGGCCCCTGGTCCAGCGACCTCGACACCTTCAAGAAGTCAGTGCAGTCGATGCCAGATCAGTACAAGTCCTCTTTTGCCGATGCGTCCAAGTCTACCCTGGAAAAGGTCTGTGACCCGAAAGTTCTCCACATTTGGGAATCCAATTCCGATGCCGATGGTCTTCTGCAACTTACTTCGGTCATTGCGAAATTGTGCGACCTGGGGGTGCGCAAGCACAAAGGCGCCAATGACGGTGATGGTAGTACGCTGATCATCGCCGAAGAGAGCCGGTCTCGGAACAGCTTTGGTCGAATTTGCCAATTGGTGGAGTATCTGACTGGGGCTGACGGCAAGAGGCATCTCGAAGGTACAGTGGTGGTGTTTAGCAAGATAGTGGTAGCGAGGGGATGGGATAACAGCATTTTATCCGGACAGAAAGAGGCGCTTGTTAAAACAGTGAAAAGAGTTAATACGGCAGTTGAGCGCGTGTTGAAAATGAGTGGGTTGAAGAAGATTGTTTGGCATCACGGTGCTGTGCTACACTTCTTGCTCCAGTGGATTAACATCACGACATCCTCTTTACGATCTGCTTTATCTGCCATCACCATTACAGGATCTCTTAATCTCACGGAACGTATCGCGCCTTCCGCAGCTGGGCGCGCGAATACACTGCCAGATCTGGAGCGCTTAGAGCAATACGCGAAGAAATTAGACATACCAGTTGTCTTCCTCGATGCACCTAGCCAACTACTTAATTTCGAATATCTGGGCACCTATGTTTACTACTACGGTTACTACATCAACACTTTTTTGCCTAATTCGTTGGCCCGCTCCCATCTTCACAAAGCGCAAGATGAACTTATCACGTTCGCTTTTAGGCTGCGAGGTGCGAGTGAAGGCCGATACGGTAGTGATGTAGTCAAGATGGTGCACAAGCATCTCGATGCGAACAAGGCGAGACACTGGGCCAAAATGTGCGTTAGCAAAGAAAGCTACGAGAAGAGCAAATGCAGAGCAGCTGGCAAAGATGAAACGATTCATCATGCTGTTCAGTTAGCTGATAGCCCTTTCGCTCTTCTAGCCTCTGGTGCTGGGGTACCAGCATTTGCACGACTTTCGGTTGGTCCTGCATGCGCATCTACACAAGACTACTACACCGCAGCGCCTGTCGAAATTGCTTTTGCTAAGGCCAAGATTTGGCCTACTAGTCCTGCCACTTTTCACGTCCTCATTCCACAATCCTCTCAAGATCTCGAGAGAGTCACGAATCGCATACAAGGACTCATGATGGCCGTCCTAGAACGCGTAAGGCAGGAGAAAGGTAACCCAGTACTCAGTGACACAGAGAAGGGAATGTGGGATGCTGTTGTCAAGGCATGTGAATGGGCGATTGAGGGTTGTGACGAAAGCAATATGCCCAAGGGTGTGGCGAAGAAAGTTGGATTCGTCAAGGGAAAGTTGAGAGAGGGAACTTGGGGCTTTGCGCTAACTCCACCCAAAGATGGAGGTGCCGCTGCGACGACCAACACCAATGCAGGAACGGCGATGCTGGAGCCGAATCGTACGTATGGGTTTGGGCAGAGCACGCAGCAAACTAGGGGATCGCATTCGATATATACTGGAACCCAGCAACAGCAGATACCACAACATGGTTATGGGGGCGGACTACCACAGGGTCCTTTGCCTAGTCCTGTCCAGGGTATATCGTATGCTCAGCAGGTGCCTTCCCAGATTCCAACACAAGGTATGTATGCTGGTGGTCAGGGGCAGGCTCGAGGTCAACAGTATGGCAACCATTGCTTTGGAGGCGGGCAAGCTGCAGTTGTACCATCGCGTCATGGACTTGGACACGGTGGAAGCGGTGGTGGAGGACATGCACAGAGTATGGGCGGACCTTGGTGATATTGTCATACAGGGTTTATGAAGTCCGATCAGTTTCTTGCTACCGTAAGGCGATGTTCTATAGGAGGAGTTTCAATATTTGTTTGGCTCTACCAGAATAGAATGAGTCGATTGGACAGAAGGCTGACCGGTGACGTGGAGTGACCACCTACTAGTAGGTCGACGGGCGGTGATGCGTCTTCCAAGGTTTACCCGCTTGCGCATTGCTCAATGTGAACACGGCGCGACCTCTTTGAAGCAATTCAGTTTAATATTTCTGTTTATTCAACCACTAACGCACGATCTTCTTTTGTGGACGTTTGTTCCTGTGCAAACAGAAGAGCAGTACGTTCTGACGTGCAGCACTCGCACGTCTCCCCATCCTCGCAACGTCACCAATAGCGCATCATGGCTACCACCTTGGATCAGTCTCCAGGGCTATCCAAAGACCGCGAGGGAACATTAACATATTCAGCGTTTAGCGTATGTGTCAAATTTAGTAAGGATCTCATTTACATTCTCAAGGATTCGTTGAGCCTCAACAACGCAAACCATAGACTGTAGAGAGCAAAACGCAAGAGCACTCTGACTGCCGAGCTACGCCACACTTCTTAGATCCTGAGTTGTTCAGTCAATGTCAGCATATTCAATTGCATACGCAGGCCCTTCGGCCGAAATCACATCATTTCCAGGGCTGGGATCATTGATACTCTGGCGACTATACATGTTGGAAAAGTAAAGAACTGGATCTTTTCGGTCTCAGTAATTTATAAGGTGTTCAGCTCTTGTTGACACGCGATACATGTGTTGTATGGGCTAGAAACTACTGGCAGACTATCCGCAGTACCACTGGGCTAAAACTGATTTGGAGAAAGTACCTGGTAGTATAGTTGTGCGACAGCAATCAGGGCGACATGTCAAGCGTAAAGATGAACGATACTATGTTTGAACGACGCTTGCTACGCTCAAAGTTGGCCTGATGAGAGCTATCTGCATGTGATCTCTTCTGTGATGCGTAGCAATCATGGTCATGTTATAATGTGCTCTCTGCAAGCAACATATATCACCGCTGTATTCGAAGCGTTCTTCTAGCATGCCTCCAAAGAACAGCAGCACCGGCGCATACTGGAAAGAAGACCCTACCGACGCGCCACACAGAGATGTGGAAACGGATTTCGAAACAGGCGAGTCTTCTGAATCTGAACCCCCTACCAGTCACAAGAAAGTCACCACTTCCGATAATCTAGAAGATAATCTTGTCACAGTAAGTCACGATAGCACGCCCATCTCTACCGCCAGCGACGTTGCACTGAAGGCTCCTTTTGAAGATACCATGGAAGCGCAAAGTCTTGACCGTCAAGGACGGGAACAAGGTCTAAGTAACCAAGAAAGGAAGGAAAAGCTGATAAATATGCTGGGCAACCGTACTAGGGATAGAGATGCGAAGGAGACAAGCAAGGATGATGAGGATGATGGTGAGAATCGAAGTGAGGGAAAAGGCAAGGGCAAGAAGGTTTAGAAACATGAGGGTACTTGCACCTGGCATCCAGAAGCATAGCTATTTGAACGACCTGAATATCTCCTAATTGCGGTCTTAAGTACCATAAGCGACCAATCAGTCGCAATCTTGCTGTTCTTTGATGGGAAAACCAGGGCTAGTCTCTTTGTTGCTGAGAGCATTTATCCCACGTTCTGCGCAAAAGTTTGCCTAGAGTTGATACCTGTATGATTGACTGAGATACAATCGAAATGAAGAAACTCAAATTGCTTGAGCTTCCATGACGCGTTCTAAAACTATGTCTGTCTTCGCCGAAGGGAACAATGCGCAGGCATCTCGTTCTCTTCGCTTTGAGTTTGCATTGTCTATGTGTAAGAACAATGCACAGGCTGCTTTTTGTCTCTCTCTTTGACTTGCTGTTCTCTGCACATCTTAAACAAATGTACAGAAGACTGGCAAGAACAATGAAACGAAAACCTCATGGCATGATGGCACGGCGAACGGATTTTAAGAGAATATAGTCTACTCCCGGTCTCTTATACAAGTTGACTATCCGATTTATCTGCTTCATCACATACGATTACAATACCATTACAACACCTAGGTAAACTTATGCAATGGCGCCTCGACAAGGCCCGGACCAAGCGCGACGTCGAAGAGTTGCCAACGCCATAAGCAAGAAATGGAAGATCGAGCGCCAAAGCAAACGCCCTAGAGGCCTTGTTAATATGGGAAACAACTGTTACCGTCATGGAGCCCTACAACCTCTACTTCATCTCCCTAGATTTGTTAATTGGATCAAGAAACATAACAGAGGAAATCACTGGCCTTGCTACGCGAATGACCCAAACCGCGTGCTCCCCTCTGACCCCTTAACGCTACAATTGCTTGAAGACGAGATCGGCAAGTTGAAAAAGAAGAAGGGGATAAATAAGGACGATGAAGAAGACCTTGAATATCGAGGATGCACTCCTTGTCTATTGAAGAGATTGATGATAGACTATTGGGGTGATATTAATATAGGTGGCCAACCAAATTTCGCACCCCATCCCTTTCCGCACGAACACAAGGCTATTTTTCCGTTACACACATTGGCTGAACGCTGGTACTGTGTGAATCCACCAGGACTCTCCGGAACGGTCGAGTCCTTAGCTACACAGGCAGAGCAGGAAAGCATAACTCGTATAGCAAGACTATCCTATATGACAGCTCAGCAAGATTCAGACGAATTTTTACTGAGGATATTTGACGGCATCCAGAATAGTTACGATCCTCAGTGAGTGCATCTTCGTTCCAAGTTCCAAGCTCTTGGGCTATCACATATTGACTTTGAACAGTACTATTCATGGAGCAGCGCGTCAAGCTGAATATGACTCACTTTTCCACGTCAGGACTCGTGAATTCCACACTTGCGATGGTTGTGATGCCACTCGATCCGACAACGTCAATGAGATGCTGGGAATTAGAATCATTCCAGATGCTAATATCATGAACGACACAGTCGAGAATGCCCTTTCTCGGTACTTTAATGATCCCACAACCCTCCTACCATCCGCCTGCTGTTCCTGCAAGAAGGACTCGAGTCAGTCGATCAGGAGAACGATTATAGCTGCACCTGAGTACCTTCGTGTTCAAATCAATCTTGTTCAACAAGTTTCAGAGGAAAGAAAAGACAAATACGGCAACGTCAAGGTGGACAAAAAAACTGGCGATCCCATAATGGTTGTGAACGTGGTCAAGAATACTAACCCCGTCTCAATACCTGACACCATTGACTTGACAGCGTACATGGACATCCCTGTAACTATTCAGAACCCTTACCCAGTACGATATAAGCTCGTATCTGCCACCTATCATAGCGGTGCCGATTTCAATGCAGGTCACTACACAGCCGGCGTCACTGGTCCGGCGCTTCCATTCCGAGCCGAAAGAGCGCAATTCTTCTGCAATGATGCGGCCATTACCGATCTGCCGCCAACTGATGCTCATCCGAATGCAATTACGGAAAATCCTATGCAAGAGGACTTCAATGCTACTACTCTCTATTATGAGAGAATCACGCCTGCAAGTATCCCTATGAAACGCAGCTAAAGAGCGGAAGACAGCAAATCAGACAGTCAGATGAGAGGAGAGCTAGTAGAAGACTCACTAGTGAATATAGAAAAGAGACATGATCAGGAGACAAAAGTGGTCCCACGGGAAGATCAGCCGTAAGATGTTGTATAACTGGTCTTAATATAGTTTAGAAAGAGCTCTTACATTACTGGCCATCAAACTTTTGTTTAGTTGCTATATTCCTATCACCACATATTTTCGGACTTCACCTTACTTCTGTAGACTGGGAGAATTCTTCGTTCATACTTGATGCGTGAAACTTTTCTGAACTAAGAAGACAAATGCCTACGCAAAGTACTCCTCATGCCCGTGCCTCTCGATTAACATCCGGTAGCTCAATAGCGACTTCCTGCACTGGATCGAATATACTGCTGATTTGCTCCAAAGAAAGTCCCTTCGTCTCTGGCACATAGAAGAAGATGAAGTTAATAACGACGACCAGAACACCAATATAGACCAAGTAGTACTTCCAAGCAATCTTATCAATGGCGACCGGATTTACGAACTGATTGAATGTAATTGATACCGCTTGGGATACCCAAAAGACACTGGTGCCTTTTGTTCGGAGATGACTTGGCCAGATTTCATTGACGTAGAGGATCGGTATGGGCGTCAGACCAATAACGTAACCGCCGGAGAAAAGAAAGAGGAATATGATCACTGCATAGCCAGCAGAAGTGGAGCCTGTGGCTGAGTATAAAGCTGAACAGATCGTTATCAGCACCATGAAGATTAGCATTAGGCCAGTGGATGTCAGAAAAAGGCGGCGTCGACCAGCCTTCTCGCATAGGAGTGCGGCACCGCAAGCTAAGAGCCAGACGTATATTTGAAGCCCACCATTGATGCCTTGTTGGTGAAGAGAGTTGGTGATTCCGACTGTTCGTAGTACCGGTGCCAGGTAGAAGCTGTGAAATCATGAGTAGGTTTTCCTTTTATACATGCATTTGTACACACCTGATGATTCCATTTCCAACCCACTGTGTGGCCACGGCTATGACAACAGACAGAACAAGGCGTTTGCGATTGCCTGGTGTCGAAAGTAACGCCAACCATCCCGTTGTATTGTTCTGGGCCTCAGCCGCAGTCGATGCACACATCCTCGCAAACTCAGATGATACCAGCTCATCTCCGTCGTGGCCGTTGGCATGATATCGTATCATGATAGATCTGGCCTTCTCCTGCTTTCCATGTCGTACAAGCCACCTGGGTGACTCTGGACAGAATACTATCAAACTCAGCTGTGCCAGTGACCAGAACAGCTGGATAGCAACAGGTAACTTCCACGACCATGAGCCCCGTATTCTTAAAGCTCCGTAAGATGCCCAAGCGGCAGTGATTGAGCCGATGAAATAGCAGGTGTTGAAGAGCGCACCAGCAACAGCTCTTTGGCGTGGATGCGCAAGTTCGACAAGTAGAGCCGAGGATGAGATCGTGTTGGAGATGCTGGAGAATCCAACGAGTATACGCATGCCAAGGAACTGATCGAACCTTGTACAGAATATCTGTCCCGTAAAGCCCGCTATCATGCCAATGTTGCCAAAGATAATTCCGACGCGACGACCGTACTTGTCGGATAGCCATGGCGCTGGGAAGAAAGCAGCAATGCAACCCATAGACTGAGCAGCAGTTACTAATCCGAGTAACTTGGGATGGGAAAGTCCTTGTATATCTTGAAAGTATCTGGGGTTGGCGATGAGATTGGAGATGAGAGAACTGATGTAGCCATTGGCCATGGCACCAATGTAGCATGCGAGAAGCAGGAAGTTGAGTCTCCGCATCCCAGAATCTTTCCACCATTGTGGGTGCGTGTTGTTGGCCAACGGATCCATGATGGGTAGGTAGTTTGATGATGGTGGTCTACTTGAGGATGCCCGACCCTTATACTAATACATAGGTATGTTAGTACATATGAACGGGTTTCGGCTCTGACACAAGCACTCGGAAGGATGCCTTAACCCGTGGATGTCTGAGCCTTCTGACGTCTTGTCGTATCCAAGTGTCGGTGAAGCCTAAGAAACGGTGATCCTTATCTAGCCGGTGACGCGGTGTAACGTCCCGAGGTCAGGTGCTCACGATCCTTAATGTTACCAATGACTCGTAGCATCATACTCAGCCAGTCATTATATGTAGTAGACATGCCATTACCGTGGTACTCTCCGGAAGTTTTCAGACATCGCCACTCCCGCGCACTACTCCGCCATGACTTCCTATTCGTCAGAGCTTGTTAGGCAATACTATCAGGCCAATCAAGACCCACCCATCCACTCGGGGAATCGGGACACCTCAGTGCGATGCAGATATCTTGCATGTTCCTGCTCAGATGCGTTGATTTGAGTTTTTAAGGGGCCGATTGCCGGCAAGATGGGCATGCTTTTCCTTAGCATACATCCGGACCAACCAGCGTTGTTGAGTCACGGACTATGTCTTCGTGGTAAATACCCTTCGGCCTTGTTCTACAGTAGGGACGAATCGATGAATCAGGGGTTGGTGGAATGTCCTTGAGCTTGTTCGGACTATGCATGTGGTTAAGCAGTAGATGAAGATGCTGAGTACGCGTGGTAGAAAGCGAGGAGTAAAGCTCTTGACGATGTTTTGAATTCTGGTATCCTTGAATGTAATCACGTCCCTTTTTATGGTCTTTTCGTGACCGGGTATCATATCGCTCGCTCTCGGTGCCGCTGTGCTTTGCGTGCAATTCCGTGCATTCTGCTTGCCATGTCTGTTTGGTTTTACAACCCTTCCTCTTACCGTCGACTCTCATGTCATCGACCTCAAGCCTTATTTTCGACCTCATTGCCCTGCTGCCATGCAAGACTCCACCTTCTCTTCAGAACATCTATACTCTCCTGTGTCGACCTGCCCTTCTCTTTCTCTTCGCGATTTATCCGTGTAAAGGCCGCAGCGAGACCGATCGATATGGCGAAAAGAGGATCGAGGCGTCTACACAGACTGTCAGCTCATGGAGCAGGTTGGATGAGAGTGATCGACTCACTTTGATATTATGTATTGGATCGCCATGATTGTGGGGTTTCTTGGATACTCTTTTGGAACAATGCGGTCGACTGCTTGTCGTGGTGTGGATGTTGTTCGTTCGCTGCAGAGATGGAGCAAATGTGAGAATCCGACGTAGGTGGCAGTTTTTGAAAGGGCAGGAATCCGTGTTGAAGTCTCGATAAACTTCTCCCAGATCACATCCGTCGACGATCCACTGCACCTGCATTTGCTGTGGTCCGTGCCTACCGCCGGCTTGGAGCTTCCCCACGCGGCTGCCCCATATGCACTACTCCAGCAAGCACGCTTCTAGGAGCGCTTAATGTAAACATGGCAGAATGTTGCAGAAGCTACTAGTGCACTCTACGTTGCCATGCATGTTCTCCATGGAGCAAGCCTTGAAAGCAGTCACCGTGCTCTGAGGCTGACCCGATGTCTTGTGAGGTGGGTGATGGCGTCATGGGTTTCAGGCCGGAGGAGCCGCAAGTCACGCTGCTCCATCAGGCACTGATAGCGCTTCACGCGCTACATACGAGACGTCACAGATTGGGTCATGTGAAGATAATGGTCTTGGATTACATCCGGTGCATTTGGGCTGAAATATGATGATCAAACTACAGGTACAGCGCAAGGGAAGAAGACAATCTATCCGACCGCCACCCTTGGTATCCGTAGAGCTTAGTCTCGAGCGAATGCCCGATCTAGCTGCCTTGTGCTTGATCCGCCTCATTCTCAGATAGTGTTTGCCTCGCGCTGAGTAATGGGGAGTCTGCCGTGGCACCAAATCGCCCGTCAAGAATACCCATCAATTACCCAGCCCATGTAGTGTTGCCATGAAATGATAAAGAAACCCGTGATCCGATAACGCCCGTGAGTTCGCCGCGGCCTTGATGGCCGATAGATAAGGGGATGCGGGATGGAGCGAGCTCTCTAGATGGCCTCGCCGAATGTGTTCTCTCCCGAGTACCTAGAAGTTTGTCAGCAGCTGCTTCGCATTGCGCTGTGCATGAGCTACGTACGTGATGTACAGAAAACCATCCTCATCCTTGTGCTCCTCATATATCGAGCTCATAAGAGCGGCAGTAGGCGGCAGGACCTCGTCGACGAAGATGAAGATGGCTTTCTCAGGCGACAGCTTAATCCTCTTACGAATCACGTAGACGAACTGGCCGACGGTCAAGTCGGCAGGGACTAGGTACTTCTTCTTGTCGATGGTCGCGATGTCCGACTTCTCGACCTTCTCGCAGATTACCTACGCGTTGTTAGCTGTTGCGCGTGGCAGAGCAGATGAAGAGGCCAGAGGCAAACGTACGGGAATGCGGTCGTTGTACTTCTGGCGAATGCGCTCCGCCTCGGCCTTGCGCTTCTCGAACGGGTGCTCGTCCTTAAACTTGGAACGCATCTTGGGTGATGATAAGGGTGCTGTGGATTTGTATGTGAGTGTGTACAAGTGGGCAGGCGAAAGTGTTGTCGGGTGTGTGGATGGTGATGTAGGACGGTGAGGGTGCGGGCGGTGTGGGAGTTTAAGGGCAGGCAGCAGAGCGGGGCGAATCACTTGCAGCACTGCCTTACATAACCTTGGTACTTGACCAACGCCCAAAGTCACTGAACCATGCAACTGACATTCGACGCTTCACGCGCCGGCCAGGTGCGACTTTGCCTTGAGACAGTGCAATCAACCCTCTTCCGTCATTCCAGTACAGCCCTTCTCGCCCACCAAGGGCGAGCTGACTCTTCTATGGCCGTGCTGACCGCTTCGCGCCTACCGTCTTGTCACTTGTTCAGCTCCCATGACCTAGCAATACCCGAATGTATGCCACTGTTGACTCATCTCGCGACTCCAAGCACCGCCACTCTAGATACGTGCCGTGACAGTACTCCGGGCTTGAAGCAGGCTGCACTTCTCCCTCGTTCGATGTTACGCTACAACGCGTTCGACGGCGCGTTCGCTGGCATCATAGCGCGTCCAGGAGCACCTTGCTGCTCATGGCGACGTGGCTATCTCTTCGGATACTCTCTAACGTATCAAAACGCGAATGGACATACCTTATAGACTGTACAACTCTGTTCAAGACATAGTAGTAATATCAGTCACCGATTTGCTTAGGCGGTATCCGCCAGCGAACTATCGCTACCGTACACTGCGCGCTTACATATGATCGCCTTCCGTGTCCCAACTTGATGTAAGGCGTCATTAGTATGTTTGGAAGTATCTGCGAGAGCCTCAGGTATTTCCTCGCTGCCATGGTCGACAATGGGCAAGTTTGCCGTATTTGCATGATGCAGGTACCGATACCGCTAGTACCGAGGAGTTCCACTGATGATGCGCCCACCGTGGTGTGATGCACGACAACTTTCCGCAATATCTAGCCTCTCTCACACACCCAATATAAACCATTTCACAACTCCAGCACTCCTCCCATGATTCCTGCATGGTGAATCCCTCCTACATACCCCACCTGTCCGCCATGCGTTCATTCCGATCCTCGTTCCGCATCTCAAGAGCTCTCGAGCTTCCCCACAACTATGCGCCGCAACGAACTCTGCGCCCATATCACATCCGCAACAGGCAATTACATTCCACTCCATGTCGCCGGCTAGACTTACCCTCAGGCAAGAAGCCGGAGAAACCGGACCCTCTGGAAGAATGGCGTAATCCTCCACCGAGCAAATGGCCGAACAGGATACGGTTGCTATTTGTACCCTTCATTGCGGCTCTGATCTATTCCATGGTACATCAAGACCAGTGATATCCTTGTGTTGCAAACTTTATTAATCATGTCACAGTGGACGGACGACACAATCAAAACCGAAGCACCTTCTATCGCCGAGAAGGATGCCCTCCTCAAGCGCGAGAATGGCGTCTCCGAGCAGTCACCGATGCGCCTACGAATGGAACAGTTCATAAAGCAACACCAGAAGGAAATCGTGGCTGAACTGGAAAAGGTAGATGGTACCAAGTTCAAGATCGACACATGGCAACGGCCAGAAGGTGGTGGTGGAATCACCTGCATCCTACAGGACGGCAACGTCTTCGAGAAGGGAGGCGTTAACACATCCGTCGTATACGGCCGCCTACCAAAAGCAGCCATACAGAAGATGCGCGTCAACCACAAAGCCCTTGACCCCAATGTCGATTCGCTCGAGTTCTTCGCCGCTGGCCTGTCCATGGTCCTTCACCCACACAACCCCAACGCACCGACCGTACACCTCAACTACCGATACTTCGAGACCGCCGACGAGACCGGAAACACAAACGCATGGTGGTACGGCGGTGGCTGCGACCTCACACCCTCCTACCTTTACGACGAAGACGCTATACACTTCCACGGCGCCATCAAGCAAGCTTGCGATAAGCACGATAAGGCATACTACCCACGATTCAAAAAGTGGTGCGATGAGTACTTCAGCAACAAGCACCGAGGTGAGACACGAGGTGTAGGTGGCATCTTCTTCGACGACTTGGATGAGACAGAGAAGGACCAGGAACAGCTCTTCTCCTTTGTCCAAGATTGTTTGTCTGCCTTCCTGCCTTCCTATTTGCCCATCATCAACAGACGGAAGGACATGCCATACACAGATGAGATGAAGCAGTGGCAGCAGATCCGCAGAGGACGATATGTAGAGTTCAACCTTGTGCACGATCGCGGGACAGCGTTTGGTTTGAACACGCCTGGTGCCCGAGTGGAGAGTATCCTGATGAGTCTACCGCTTACAGCGAGGTGGCAGTACATGCACGAGCCTACAAAGGGTAGCAGGGAAGAGCGGTTGCTTGAGGTGCTCAAAAAGCCAAAGGAGTGGGTGTAGAGAGCTCCATTGCGGACTTGTACATACATGTACCACAAGGAAAGTGGTGTCCATGTGCATACAAATGAAAAAACTGATTGCCAATCACCTCACTGTTCATGGACACACCTGCGAAGACGACGATCTTTTTCTTCAACCATATTTACATTAATACAACTGTCGGCCTGAAAGTGGATTCGCTAATAACCATCGTTGATACGGCTTATATGCAGGCCCTCGTCATTTTAAAAATATACAAGAAGGACGTGATGAGCCCTATAACGCCACGCTATGCATGCAAAAGCTCACAATCACCGCGTTTCTTTAAAAAGAAGAGGAAAAGCCATCGCATGAAAGTTGAAGCCTATTTCAATAGGCCCTAACCTTCTTTCCGTCGCCATTGGCGCCAATGTCAGCCTTTCTCTTTCCGAGAACTGAATCCGGTGTGCCTGGTGCCTCTATACCAACACCCTTGCCATATACCTCCTCAAAACAAGTAGCATGATATATTTTACCACCTATACTCACAGCATCCATCCATACAAAGTCATTGGCCTCTACATTCCACTGCGTCTCGAACTTGTCCTGACAAATGGGGCATGGCGCCTGCTGTAGTGTGACGTCTTGTGGTACACTCACGTACCGATCTTTGGCCTGCTTCTTTGGTTTAGCGGCACCATTACCGGAAGAAGCATCGTTGGAGTGGTTCGGAGAAGTCTCATCGACCTCACGGTACTCGATCCATTCCTTCTCAGGGATATACCAACTGCGGTGTACACCTCGCTTACCAGCATCAGGATCCTTGACCTTGAAGTGCCAGTCCATGTGACGTGCCTTTTTCTCTTTGCCTTCGGGTGTGCTCTCAAAGCGACGGCCACATGTGGCGCAGATGTTGGGCTTGGCTTCGTAGAGGCGTGATATGAGATGTAGACGAGGTTTCTTCATCGACGCAGTGGTAAGCTCGATCTGGTCCGTCAAACTGATAGGCGCTGGTGCCTGTTGCGTGGTCGGCTGAGACGCAACTGGAGTTGAGTTCGCAGGCATGCCACCAGGCACACCACTTAAAGCTTTTAGAAGCCATTCGGCTGACCCTAGAGTAGGGGCAGCAGCTGGGGGTTGAGGTGGTAATTGAGGAAGGGGGGTACTTTGTACGGGCGTGGGTGGCATTGAGGGTGGTGCCGCACCAGGTTTGCTGAATTGTGCAAGTAGTGCCGCAAGGTTGGCAGTGGGCGTCGCAGACTGGGTCGGTAGGGGAGCCTGAGGTACTGGCACCGGGGTCGAGACTGGTGGTGGGAAGCCTTGAAAGGGCATTTGAAACGGAGCTGGGGCGGGTACTGAGTTCGATTGTACTGGGGAAGATACGCGTTTGAGTAGTTCCGCCAAGTTCAAAGCGGGTGGATTAGGAGTTGAGGCAGGTTGCGGGGTTGATTGCTGCGGCGGTCGGAAGCCTGCAAGAAGTTGCGCAACGTTCGGGGGAGCACTGCTCGGAGGTGCACTCATCGGAGAAAAGTTGGGCGGATAACCTGGAGGCATTGCTTGTTGTGGCGGATATACTGGCGTAGAAGGAGCAAATGTCGGTGTTGGTGCTGGTGGAGGTGCTAATGCTCGAACTTGTTGGCGTACAGCCTCCAATTGCTGAGGGGGTAATGTCTGCGTATCTAGGATCTGCTTCAAGGACAACAGTGCGGACAACTTTGTGCGTAGAGCAGCATCAGCTGGGTTGTGTGCGAACATGTTCTGTGTTGCACTAATAAGTTGAGTTACTTCCACCTTCAAGTCAGCAAGGTCAACCGATGACATGGGCTGAGCGGGTTGCTGAGGCTGTTGGTATGTAGGTGGTGTGGCTGTGTGAGATGGTGGCCCATACTGAGGAGTCGGGGGTTGTGTCTGGACTAAATGTTAGCAGTTGTTTGTCGACAATAATAACATAGACTTACTGGTCGAGCACGTGGGTCGTTAGGAGCAGCATAACGCGGGCCAGTTTGAGGCGGCGTTGATGTACCTCTCCAAGCAACGTTGAGCGACGGAGGACGAGGTGGAAGCGCGTGCTGTGGCCGAATCTGCTGCTGAGCTGCGCGGAACTTAGCCAGTGCATTCTCAATATCCTGCGTCACGTCGGCCTGGAATACAGGACGTGGGTCCATGGACTCGGGCACAGGCATCTTCCACGTCTTCAGAAGGCCTTCCATGTTCTTGCGGGTGTTCTGGTCCATGACGAGATAGGCGTCCATGAAGGTTCTATAAAGGTTGCGACCGATGTAGACAGTGTATGGGGTGCCAACATTCTTGACAATCGAATCAAGAACATAGAGGGCTGGGAGTTTCCATTCAGGGCGTGTCTACACATGTCAGTCATGGGCGGATCAAGTGAGTGCTTATGGACTGATGCAATTGTTAGTCTGCCAGTATCCAGGACTTACCGATTGGATATGCTTCTGCAGCTCATTGGATATAGCTTCCGCGTATTCTGTGTTTTCCTTGGCGATGAGGGTTAGATTGCTAATCTCAGGTCTGCTGTTCATCCTCAAATCTTGCAAGGCATCCCGAAAGTCGGCAGCCACTTCAGCAGCTGGCAGAGACATGATGGGCAAGAACTGGGGTTAGACAAGAATGGATATGTGCTTTGTTAGAAGAAGAAGGGAAACTTGCGCGCAAGGGGCAGAGTGAGCGGCTGGCTTTGCGGTCGGGGAGTCGCAACGCTGAAGATGTCGATGCCAGATGAACAATAGACGATATGCTTCCTCGCTTCTCGACGAACACACGTAATGACAGTGCTTGTGTTGGATACTAGCTATGGCCGCGCCAAATGACGCAGTGTGAAGACTGCGCCGGTACAGCTAGGCAGTAACAAACTCGCTCTCCTCCAGCTACTGCAATCCTCCTTCTGTCTGTATGCCCTTCCTCCTTCAAGCCAACAGTGAGGCGGCAACGCGCGGTTGCAGACGTGTCGCAATAGAGACCTGGAGTCACTCGCAGGCGCCGCGACGGTGCCGGAGCCTATGCAAGGTGCCGTCTGTGTTGGAGCTCGTCAGTTGAAAAGCAGAAAGGCAGCGGCAATCAGCCTCTGTAGCAGAACTCGTCGCAAAGACTCGTCAAAGTGTCGTGGTGGTGGGGGCCTAAGGATGGTGGTCAGGCGAGTGAGTGGTCGAACAAAGGTGGAGCGGCTGCGGTCTTTGACAGCAGGTCGCGAACAAGCCGGGGCGCGGTTGCGACTGCCAAGCCCGGCCACGGCAAATCGTATCACCGCGCGTCATGGCAGTCGCGCTCCCTGGAACTTTGCTTTCACTATCTCGCGATCGCCCTCTGCCCCCGTCCACCTTTACTGCGACCAGCCACCGTCGAGCGACTCCACATCCTCAGCGCCTATCCACCGATACCCTGGTCCCAGCGAAACAGGCCGGAATTGTCACGATGGAGGACGTCGAGTTCACCCGGTCGCATTCCAAGTCGCCGCTTCCACAGGCTGGCGACGACCCAGCCGATCCTCTGCGCCCTGAGATTGACGAGGAGAATGCTACTCCAAACCCACCCATCGGTGATCCAGACCAAGATATGGAGGTGACAGAGGACCGGCCTGGCGAGATGCCTGACCAGGACGACATCGAGGCCGGCTTGTCAGACAATGAGTCGGTCCTTTCCGAGGCGCTGGATGACGACCAAATGGACGAGCAGTTTGGTGACTTCGATATCAACAACGTCGCTATCGATGAGCGTCCGGCGCAGGCTATTGACGAAGACAACGTCAAGCAGATTGGTGTACACAAGCGGAAGCGCACTGCGGGAGAGGGCGAAGAGCCAAAAAAGAAGAAAAAGAGAGCCGAGAAGCCACGCCGGAAGAAGAACAAGGACGGCGACGATGATGGCGATATTCCTGAAGGCGACAGGCGTAGCAAGCGGTCCAAGAAGGCAGGCAGAGTCCGCGGCGCAAGCCCAGATGGCGATCCAGACGAGCATCTCACTCCAGAAGAGCGTGCGTAATTTGATACCCAGACTCAGGTTGCCAAACTGACCGTGATTGTAGGACGAAAGAAGCAGCTCAATGCCCAGATAGACAGCATTGTCAGCACCGGCTCCAATCGCCGCCGCAAGAAGGATGGCATTGACCTCGAACAAATGGCCGACCAGGAGATTGAGGAGATGCGCCGCCGTATGGCTGCAGCTGCCGAAGCCGACAACGAAGGCCGAAAGCGCAATGAGCCCGCGCGACACAAGCTCAAACTTCTGCCTGAAGTGACAGCCCTGCTGAACAAGAACACATTGAGGGATACTATCGTGGACCCTGAGGTGAACCTGCTCGAGTCGGTGCGCTTCTTCCTGGAGCCCCTCAGCGATGGCAGTCTTCCCGCGTACGACATCCAGAAGGATCTCATGGCTTCGTTGGCCAAGTTGCCTGTCAACAAGGACACACTTGTTGCATCTGGCATTGGCAAAGTCATCATGTTCTACATCAAGAGCAAGAAGCCCGAGTTGACCATCAAACGACAAGCCGAGCGCCTCTTTACAGACTGGACACGTCCTATCCTTAGGCGGACAGACGACTACCGCAAGAAGGAGTTTGCCCAGGCCGATTACGATCCAAGGTATGATTTACTTTTGCATACTTCAGTACGCATGCTGATATTTTCTAGTCAAATGAAAACTGGCGATAGGTCCGCTGCCAGCAGCCAAGCTGCGGCCATTGCAGCCAACCGCAAGAAGCAGCTTGAAGCTCCCAAGGCCTTCCAGCGCGCTCGCATGGAGTCTGGTCCCACTACGTATACCATCGCGCCCAAGAGCAACGTTGTGTTCAACGAGAACGCACGGAGCCGTTCGAGCAATGTGGATATCATGAAGCAGATCAGGGGAGGTCGCAGTGGTGGCAGGCGTTGAGCTGGATCTTACAGCGCACTTTGTTTTGGGGTGCGTTTTCTTTCTAGTATTACTTCTGATGATGCTTGCTCTCGACATCGCTTTGGTACTATTACAAACTCTTGAGGGTTCAGCATGTTAAAATTGCATAGCGGGCGTTACTTGCAACTTAG